TTTCTGACTTATATTTTCTTCGTTTCAGTTTCTTCTTCCTAAGGGGGTCATCCATAAATGACGTCACGCTTTTTTGGACGATTTTTACCTCCCACCCTCCCCTCCGTCACGCATCGTAACAAAAAGCCAGACCCCCCCCCCTAAAATGACGTCACAACTCAGTCTACAACCCCCCCCCCCCTCAAAATTGCAGTTGAATTTTTCTTAAAACATATATATTTTTCCAAAATCTTGTCTGAACTCTGTCAATATAGAGTATTTTAATCAATTCCTATTAAAACCATTTTCTAAAACGCGAGTAATGTCTAAAATTCGTTTTCTAACATTGCTTTTTATAATGCAAAGGTGTGACGTCGCAGGATCTGACCCCCCCCCCTCCCCCTCATCACACACTGTCGCAACAATAACGGACCCCCCCCTCCCCCCTACGAGCGTGACGTCATATATGGACGACCCCTAAATCCCGTGTAGGCCGTTAACTATAATAATAATTTAAAAATTGCAGCAGTTATTATCAGTTGTTACCAATATTCCCATTGCTCCACTAAGTTAGACATTAAGGGGGTAGGCTCCAGAAAAAACCAACTTCTTAATTAAAAGCTTTTATTGATTCATTTGTGTATATCTAAGTTAGGGTACTTGTAGGGAAATATTTCCATGCATCAGGGAATTTTTTGAAAATTTGGTTGCCATGGCAACGGCCATCTTGAAAAAAACATCCTTTTCTGGAGTTCTAAAATTTCATAAACTAACATAAATATCGGCTATATAACCATTGATCCTTCTTGTACTAACGCTAATAGAGTCAGCTGGCTAGTTTTTGTAAAAGAAATCACTCTAAAAATATTTTTTTTTAATTTTCAAAATTTGGTGTGACGAAATTCCAAGGAAAATAATGCTAAATTCAATGGAATTTCACCAAAAAATTTTTTGAAAATTTGAAAAAAATATGTCTAGCTGTTTTTTGGTAACAAAAATTAGCCAGCTGGCTCTATTGGTGTTAGTACAATAAAGATCAATGATTATATGGGCGGTTTATATGTTACTTTAGGAAATTTTAGAACTCCACATCTGTAGTTTTTTCCAAGATGGCCGCCGTTTCCATGGCAACCATATTTTCAGAAGAGTCCCTGATACATCCAAATATTTTTCCTTAAGTACCCTAACTTATACATAGGTAAATAAATGTAAAAGGCTTTTTAATTAAAAAGTTTTTTTCCCCGTTTTTTTCGGGAGCCTATCCCCTTAAACGTTTGGAAACCACGAAAATATGAATACTTAAATGCAAAACAAGACTTGTAATATGACCCACATTCTTAAATTACTCAACTGGTGATTTTTTTTTTTGATGAACTAAGGTAAAGTTAATAGAGTAGAAAAAGAAGACTAAATTATAAACCATGCATATATCATTGTGCAGTTTAGTGATAATTTACTGATCTAACCTACACCGAGACAATAAAAATTAATAACTAAACATTCAAACACATACTATTCCCAGTGTAAAGCTGACGCTTGAATTTATTATAATTTTTATTAAGATTTGAAAACATTTGGGATGTGATTATTGTGATCTCTACTATTGAGATCGTCGGCCATAAATGAACTCCCATTAGAATATTTGAACATGAAATATTGTGCAAGGGAGATAATTTAGAAAAACGTTATTAAAAAAAACAAAAACATTTAGACACTATTTTTAAAAATCACGCAACAAAAAAGTGACTTAATTTTAAATTAAAAACAAATAAATAAATTTTCTATTCCTTTTTTATCAGTCATATACGTCAGCACTTTAAAAACGTAAAATTTATTTGTAAAATTATTTTATACAAATTTTACTAATTGTGTAAAATCTTTAATATTTGAAAAAATTAATGTAATATTTATAATTATTGGAACTACTGAATTTCATATTTTAAATTTTGGATCCCTCTAGTAAGGGACAAAACTTTGAAACAAAAAGAATGGAAGACCATCCGAGGCAGAAAATCGAGGACCATCATACAAATGGAACACATCAATCAAAAAGTAACGGTTCAAGATAGTAGTGTAGTTCAGGATAAAATTAAGTATACAGCGTTGCGAAAGTTAATTGGCACTTATTGTAATAGAGATGGAATACAAACTTGAGTTGTATGATTTAGATTTGATGGAAATCCTATAAATGATGGGGACACACCAGCTATGCTGGAAATGGAAGATGGAGATTATATCGATGTCTTTCAACAACAGAAAGGAGGCCGATTGTCTCTTAGATGGTAAAAGTAAGCAATACATTGAAATGGAAACACGTGAACTCTACTTCACTTGCCCCGTAGACCGTCAAGTTTGAAAGGGAACTTAACTTTTTACATGGGAATGTAAGTTAAATGCTGATTAAACTGATAAAGTATGTTGTACATTGTAAAACATTTCTCACATCGAAGCCACCAACAATTTTTTTTTTAAATTACATATTAGTCCTTTAGCAACCTTCTGGACGCATAGACCAAACATATTAACTAGAGAGGCAATTTTTAACTAAATTACTAAATTTATTTTTAAAAATACGACCTATATATATATATATATATATATATATATATATATATATATATATATATATATATATATATATATATATATATATATATATATATATTTAAACACAAAATACCACATACACCAATGGTATTTATATTGATTTGCAACTAAATACGCCCACTAAAACATTATAGCGACACACGCTTTTATTTATAGTGATATAAATAGTAGTGCATTAATATATTTAAAGTAAGTAATTTTATATTTAAAGTAACCGCAGATTTATTATATTTTTAAAAATTATTTATATTTAATAAAAAAATTGTATTATTTTCTTCTTTTTAGTGGATCTATAAAAGCTTGTAATTTTAAACGTTTTTATGTATTTATTATATATAAAGCGTGACTGTTCTTAGATTAGTTAGAAAAAACTGGATATCCAGCGGTACATTTTCTACTCGAGCGCTCAACTTCTAGAACAGGTAAACTCGAAAGATCTAGACCAGGAATCTATCGCCTTGAGTGGTTTACATTTAGGCTGTGCCACAAACATTTCTCCAGTAGCCTCCCCTTGTCTGTACGTTTGACGCCGTATAGAACCTCCGTATCCCATTTTACCCAGTCACGCTCCCCCTACAGTGACAGCCTACAAATGTCTTTGATGGCAGCAATACTCTGGGAACACACACATACAAATGTCTTCAGAATACAAGCTAATCTCTCAATTCTAACACACGGGCATTAACGTTTTAAGCTCATTATACGCCATCTAAATTGTCAAAGGGACCTCTGAAAAGTAATGAAGCACGATGCTAAAATCAACTTTTAGCTTGGACCAGCGATAAAACAAATAAAGCTAGTACTCGAGCTAATACCAAAAATAACATTAAGGTAAAATCTTGTCAGCAGTGGTCTGGTGTCGGAAGGTCTGGCCTGTATTGAAAACATTCACGTTAGAGGAACTGACAAGCTTACTACTGAAAACATTCACGTTAGAGGAACTGACAAGCTTACTACTGAAAACATTCACGTTAGAGGAACTGACAAGCTTACAGGATTTACAGACCACATCAACAGTTGTATCTTGTATGACAAAATGCTGATAGAAATGAAAACATTAAGTTAATAAAGTTATCGATTTATCCTAGGATCACAAACTAAAAACAGTACAATTATATAGAGTTTACATGTTTCTTTAATCTCGACATAAGTATGAAAAACGTAGTCAATGTTCCATAACGTGAATAAAGTATCAGCGTAGCTGTGTGGACTCATTTACGCACTACAATTAGCCTTGGTCCTTATTGTCTTTATCACATTACAAAATAACGACAGTTATCATATGTTAGATAATTCCGAAGATTTTAGTATGTGTTCAAAAAACAAACGAAAAAAACAAAACACATATATCATAAGTTATATAAATGGATTTTTTAGTAAATATATAAAACAATTTCCTTAACTACAAAAGGAAGGCTTGATATTAAAATTAAGTGGGCGATATAATAAAGATGTATATAAATGCATATAATTGCTTTCCATTAATTGTGTCCATGTAAACATGCTTATCAAATACAATTATAAAATTAGGTAATTGGAAATTTCTCTAGCCTATGGTATGGAACACAAACGACACTAAATTGTTCACGGGAGATAACAATTAAAATTACCCACTTGATTTGTGAGAGTATAGTTATATACCCTGAAAACGATAATAAAAGAATATTCCAATCTCAATCATAAAAAATATTCAGAATTAAACTTTTATTTTGTACTAATTTGTATTTATATGTGATAGTAGAGATTTCTTAATAAACAAACATGCTAGATATGAGATACACTAGATAAAATATTAACTACTTAAACATAGGATTTACTTAAATGTACACATTTATAATACAAAGCTTTACAGATCCCAAATTAACAGTTACTATCTACTTTATGCGATGTTAGGTGGCATATATACATCTTTCGAAAAAACTATGCGAAAAAAATATTATTGAAAAAATTGCACAAACATTACACACGTTATTAGAGTTAAACTTCACACGATCCGAGTGAATGTCTAATATAGTGGTAGATGACAACTACACTACTAGTCTAGTTATGAATATGTAAGAAATAAATGACACCATCATAGTCGTTTTTTACCTGTTTTAATGGCTAACACACACACAGTCAATCTATGAGGAATTTCAATTCCAGATGAGCGTATAAGTGGCTTTATTACATCATGATAGCAAAACAAACTCTGTTGTAGTTTTTAAAATCATTTTTTAAATAAAATGTTTGGTTTAATGTTCGTTAATTTTAAACTTCTTATGTATACTCACCATCAAGAAAATATTGCCTTAGTGAAATGTTTACATCTATTTATTTTAATATATGAAATGTTGTTTATGTTTCTGAAGATTATATAAATAATTTGATTACTGTATATTCATTATTTTAACATAGCATTGTTTTCGGGTTGTTTACATTTGACGAAGTTTCATCTCAACAAAGTCTAGAGAGTCAGACCATGCTGTAATGCTAGACCAATGAATTCCTTTATATTCAACACGACTGGCCCATTCACCGTTGACATTAACCCTGTGACAATTATAATACCACCAACCACCTCTACTCCAGTCTACAGCACAGTTGCCACCTGACCACTCATCGTTATCAGAGTCAATGGTTGTAAACTTCTTGCCGTTGTGAACACTAAACTGGTCTTTAACATTCCCACCACTGAATGACGTGTAGTTCATCTTATACTTTGATGTTTCATTTTCTACCTTAAAACCTATGTACACAGCGTAGTAGTCTTTACCTTTATACTTCATGTCAAATCTGAGTTCATTATAACCCTGTTTTAGACAAAAAATTAGAAATATTTAGATATTGCATTGTGTTTGAAATATTGTAAGTATTGATCCCTCTATACTATATGATAATTATACATATCGATTAAAAAACCTAACGAAAATCTATAAACAATATGCACAATTTTCCAAAACACTTTATTACATTAATACACACACACACTGCTTGAAAACTTTCTTTGTAAAAAAAAATATTGAATAAACTTATTTTGATAGTTCCTGTATCTACCCCATCATTAAAACAAAAGACGTCTGTTGAGAAAGGAAA